CTACTACTACTACTGCTACTACAGCACCAGCAACAGGAGCAGTACCAGCACCACCAAGGTGTTGCATAGCCTAGGGAGTCGTTCGGACAAAAGTCCCAAAGATACCGTCATTCTTTTGTCCTTGGCCGTGATTAGGTTGTAATGGGCAAATCTGCCGCTTGCTCGTCAGTACTGCAACTCAGTGCACCTGCTCGCCAGCAACCGAGATGGAAGAGCCCCTGCGGAGTGCCATTGCCTGAGGCTGCACTCCGGGAAGCTACTTTTGCCTTTTGCAACAGTCACGGGCTGCCCGGCGTCCTTTTCACACTTGTCAGTACGAAGGATACCTTTGCGCTTCAACATGCTTGGGATGTAGACTGCCCTGCGCAGAAATGGGCTGACAATTGTAAGCAGGGCAACGGTCATCGAATCCTTCTAGAAGCCCACTTCATAGGCCAGGTCGCTGACAACAGCAGCCGATGCTGAATCACCATACAGAAGTGCCATAGGAATACCGTCTGCTTGGTTATGCAGGTTAGCATACCACGGAGTTTTCACGTGTGGTTGGGCAGTCCGCCGCATTGGGCAGTTCGCGGCCAGAGTGGTGCTGAAGCTGTGCTGGCGCTGTGCTCGTTTGAGCTACTCCGTTTCCGTCTCAGATCTTCAGCGACGAACGAACTACTGCACAAGTTCAGACAACATTTAAACATAGTTCTGCATGTTCATGTCCGCAACAACGTAACACCGATCGAGATGAGGACAGGGCTGCTTGGCAAGCTGCGCGACTGCTTCGGCATCAGCTTGCTTCGGAATGCTGACGACTCGAGTAATCAAGAATGACAAACAATGCTGTCCGCAGCCTGAAACTAAAGCGGTGCGGCTTCATGCAAAATCAGCAGACTTCACAGCAACGTCTGGCAAGGAGTGTCGCCGCTTGCGGCAGGAGCTGACGGCCCAGCAGCAGGAGGCTGCCTACTTCTGCTGGTGTATCCAAAATGTTGGGAATGGGCCTCGGGGCCCGAACTCGAACTGGCTGACACAGTGCCACCTTCCGATGGATGATTGGATGCAGCAGTTCGCGAGGAGAGGCATCTGTCGGGCAGAGTGGAGCAGCAGTGAACTCGGAAGCCGTGTGGAAGCAGGCCTGTTTGTGCAGTTTGTGCTAAGACCAGCTGCAGATCAGGTAGACTTGCAGCTGCTAGCTCTCAAGCATCATGAGCTGCCAACAGAGCAGAACCGACTGCAGCTGTAGCTGTGACCTCCACCACTGCGATGGATCTCCAGCCTCTACTTAGAGTGGAGTCATGTCATAGTTTTCCAGAATCTTGAGGCTCGAAGGCTGCTTGCGGGCCCGCACCCGTCAGCTACGGCCTCGGGCTGCGTGCAACACATGTGCTCTCTGGATATCGGCTTGGTGCAGTGGATACAGCTATCCGTTTCTTTCAGAAGCACATGCACGGACAAGCGGTGAGCATGTCGCCTTAACACGTACAGGTTGGACCGGCTGTTGCAAAGCATGCGTGGCACCCAGACTTGTCTGCGAAGAATTTTGGATGGACGCCCTGCGTAGCCACCACCTCTTCCTGAATTCAGAATATCACCAAGCCGCCTAGTCGCTAGGCTCTGTGTAAGCCCACGTAGACTAGGCCATTAAGCTCCCTGTCAAGCTCTGCTGCGGTCACAGGGGTCGTGCAGAGCCGACGGTCCTTGACCAGGAGCGAGGGTTCTCGCACAAATGCTTGTGCCTGCCTCTGTGCTTCTCAAGTCTCATTATCTTCCAGTGCTGCTCCGGTGGCCAACAGCTCGGACCGTTCAACGACGAAACAGAACTGTAGCCTAGGCAAGGCTCATGCATCTTCGTTGCCGGGTGTGTGTGACTGATAGCTAGAGCAGCTGAACGCATTGCAGCCTTCGCGCAGGACAGGCATGCCGATTCTTTTCCGAGATCGCCCGTGGACCTAGCTGTTTACTGATGTGGCGCATGTTGAAAATTGTGTCGACACTCCTCTGCGACCTGCTGCCGATGACCAAGCAGCTTGCTCACTGCATTTTGCTGGTGCCTGCCACAAGTTTCAATTCAAGGCCTCGCGAGAGTGGTCTTGATACACCCTCCTGCTTTTCAGCCTTCCCATCACGCCTTCCTAAGGCAAAGTGCCCAAATGCGGGTGCGCGTGACCGCCTGGATCCCAGTACTCATGCCCAACACAGGCTCATGCCTTCTAGCTGGCCGCGAAACGAATTCCTTCGGTGCGCCTTAGTCAGCTGGGCGGGTGGAAAAAACAGTTGGCCGCCCCCGGTAGCAAACCAAGCTTGATGATAAGGGACCCACTGACGAGTCAGACATGCGAGAAGGTTCGGGTTATGGCGCAGATACTCACGGCGCTACAAACGCAACGGGACGTTTCACTGCAGCCCAGGCTGCGCAGAGGGAAAGCGGGCAACGCCTGGCGTCTCGGCAATGATTGAACTTTCAAGCGCCGAGAAGCCGAGAAGGGGACGACGGCTCATACTGTCCCGATTGTAGGCTCTCCTGGGGTGAACGACCGAAGTGCATGGAAGCCCAAGCTCACGCATGTCTGGAGGGAGTTCGAAGCTGCACTTATGTTGTGGAGCTTGATGTTGAATGTAGTATGCGCCGCAGGGCGGATTGTAAAATAGTATAGTGTCATGATGATCCGTAGCATCGGCGAGTTCAAGTGCACCCCTATGAAACTTGGGCGACCAACCATTCATGCAAAAGGAAACCCCCTTCCGCATGGGTCTCGGTTTATTGTTGTCTCTCAAAGAATGCGGGGACTCAGATCCTCAAGGCCGATCGAAAGCAGTGGTTCAAAGAGGCTTTATGCCCTCGACAGAGGTTGGCGTCCCTCGTATAGGCTAGTTGGCTGGCCTTCACACAAGACATCAAGTGCCTCGCTTTGGCGATCAGAGATGGATGCTTAAAGCATGATCTGCAGGAATCCGAAGATTGCCCGTTGCTCAGCCGACCGGTGGTTCTTTGCCAGCCCGCAGGGAATGCAGTCCTTCCCGCTGCCATGTCGGAAGAAGTTGGCAGAGCGCAATTGTTGAGTTCCGGATGGAATACCAGGTGACACGGATCCTGATCCCCCACGAGAGGCTCAGCCGGGTGCCACGGATTTTCGCCTCGGGCCCGGAGGATCCGAATTGCGGCTGTTTAGGAGTGGAGCGCCACCTTCAAAGCATCAGTGGCATAGCATGCTGCACGTTTAGGCTGCAACCAAGCCTTCTGCAGCAGACGTGGAAAGCGCTGCCCCTGTGTCCTCTGAGGCCATGTACTTAGAGCTCGCGCAGCAACCCCGGCGGTTGGAAGGAGCTTGAAGCAGAAAGCTTCTTCCGTCCTCGACTCGCCTGTGCTCAGGTCGGTACGCAGTCTCTCCGGCAGGAGTTTGCGGTGTGGTTCCCGGGTTGCTGGGTAGGTGTCGGCAGCGATGAGGCAGCTCCGCCCCTTATGGGACTTTCCGAAAAATTAGGGGTACCTTATTTTGGGGTCCTTATAATAAGGATCCTACTATTTAGGGTACTATATTAGGGTCCCCTATTTTCGGAAACGCCCTTATCAACTCACAAGGCCCAAAGCAAACGACCAGTGTAACGCGCCAAGACAAGACAGCGGTGGGATAGTACAGTTTCCGTTTCGATCTATGGAGTCATGTGCACATCGACTCTGACGTATTTCTTTGTATATACAAGGCTTCTCTACGATAAGAAGCCTTCACTCTCGCAGTGGTGCAAGCTGCGGGAACTACTGCATCCAAGCCGGCTGTGCATACCCGTAAGGTTTGGCTGAATTTCGCCGATGAGTCGTAATAACTAGCATGATTATTTAGGTTTTTGTGGTCGCCGGACGTGACTGGCCAAGCTTCCAAGGTGTCTGTTCGGAAGTTTATTAAGTTTATTATAGGTGGCTTGACCAACCCTGGTTGCCCACTTGAGTTCTGAAGCGCTTGAAAAAGACCGATCTCTCTTGGTGCAGCGCTTCGCGACACTGAAGAGGCAGAGGGATAAGAGTCCGCAACAACGAAGGACAGTCCCGAACCCCCTTAACTGCCGACACCAAGGCGCTCCATGAGCAGGAACGGGATCGGAGGGCAGCCCAAGCCTAAGCCTGCCTTTTCATACTTGTAATGACTGTCAGAGTAGCGATGTAGACCCGTGACTTGGGGGATTTTTAGGGTGTATAAGACGTGTCAAGAAGGGGAGACTCCTGAGTAAACGAATTTTGAAAAGGATTCGAGCTAACATTGTGGGGCTGGCGTGTACATCGTGGCGATGGCGTTGTTGTTTTTGGTATACAGCTTTGGCATTAATTAAAATTTCTAGTTGCCGTGACAAGAGCCTCAGTAGTTGTCGCCAAACCGAGTCTTCTGCTTGTGAGTAACAGCGCCAGCCACCAAAAAAAACGCACTGCATTCGTGCGCCTGCCTTCTACAGAGAGCAGTCGAGGCTGCAAAGACAGCGGTCACAACTCCGGTGTGTGGTGCCGTCGGCACTTCAGGCGCATGTCCTGTCATATCTATCATGACACAACTTATGACTGCAGTGAGCGGGGTCAAGTCGCGGCAGCGGATACAACAAGTGACAACGACCATGCCATAATTCGAGTAAGGGGTCAAAGCTTGGACACCGCTCGTGTCGATGCGAGTCGGCGACCACTTGCAGACGGAGCACGATGTGCCTGACCAAGCCAGCACACAATTGCAGCAGGACAGGCGGATTGCTCAGCACGGCTTTGCGAAATCTGCGACTCACATGCTTGGATGTAGCCAGAGTACCCAGGATCAACATCGAGTCTTGCACCTTTGCATTCGGCAGGAGTTGCAGGCATTGCGCCAGAAGTGCGCAAATTTGGAGGCCTCGCGTGTAGAATCACAAGCGGGTCGGGACTTGTTGTCATTGGGGCGACTATTTGTCAGAGATGCTGTTAATTCGTTTGATGAAGGGCAAAACCTAAAGGTCCGGATGAAAGGTATGGGTGGAAGGCTGAGGACGACTAGAAGGGAACGAAAAAGGGGGGGGGCAGGTCGGGCCGATAATTTGCAGCTCGTTTCCTGCTTCAGGAGAGCTGTCGCAAAGCAACAGACAGGGCTGACGAGGCCAAGCTTGGTTGTGCCCTGAGTCAGTGCGCGCCGGTAAGACATCAAACCAAGACTCATTGCCAGGCTCAGCAGGAGTTGCTGACATATTCGGCCAAAGCTGAGGCCGTGCCTGTTTTGCTTGGTTGACATGTCCTTGAGCTGTTATTTCAAGCCTGAGACTTCCAGCCCAATTCGGCTTATGAGTTGGGGCTTCGCCTTTAGGGTGCACGGCTTGTTTGTTAACCTTGAGATCATTGTTGGCATCATTTCGTAAAAGCGTTTATGTCAAGATGAACGATGAGCAGGTGGAGAGTTTTGTCGTTGAGGCTGTGAGCTTTGGTTCAGCTAAAATCGGACGGAATCGATGTGAGAGAATCGCGAATCCTTTATCCTCAACGGACACCGCAGGCAACGCGATTCTCTGTGGGGCCAAGAAGGAAAGTGCTTAACTGCGGTGAAGGGGGACAAAATTTGGGAATTACAAGTGCCAGCGACTCCCGCCCTCCCGCCCGTAATCGGAAGCTGCATCGAAAGGCCGCCGAGCAGCGCGCTTGGGCCATGGCAGAGGCAGGGAAGAGACTTCTAGGCGAGAGCTATGACATGATGTAAATGAGATTCCTTGAGATACCGGTTGATTGCTCGGCCGAGTGCATTGAACGTGTGACCCTGAGGCGGCCAATGAGCTTGCCCTCCTCGCCGATCTTCGACATGTTGAGGCACGGCGGGCAATGCTTCAATGCGGGGTTCAGCACCCTGGCCAAGGAAAGAAAGAACAGCAATGAGCAGAATGAACAAAGCAAAAGAAGCGGATACATGACTACATATATATATATATATCTATCTCTCTCTCTCTCTCTCTCTTCCTCTCTCTCTTTCTTTCTGTGTCTTTGCCCGCAATGGTGTATGACAATCAGTGTATGTGGTTTGAAGCGCATGTGTAATCATGATGTTGTACATTTTCCGATCGTGCAACGTGCTTTGTGGGCTGTCGGGCAAGAGCCAACACTGCCACAGGTTCTCGAGGTCCAGCTGCGCCTTCAGGAAAGTGCAGGGTTCGTCAACCACCACGGCCACGAAAAGGGTCCGTAGGGATAGTGCTATTGTAGCTATCATCATAAGTAGTGTGAGTATGATTATGATGTATTGTTACTACGATGATTCTTCTTCTTATTATTATGGTGGTGTTAGGGTTTAGGGCTTTAGGGTCTTACCTGCCAGTTGCCAATGTCGAGCTGTGATTTTGGACATCTGGCAACACACAAGGTTTCGCACTTGCCGGAGGTATATTGTGCTGTCGGTGCACCGATACGACTTGGGATTTGCATTTGGTTGGAGGTTTCACTAGGCAGTCGCGATGTGGGCATCCACCTTGCAGGAGAAGTTGACTGCAGCCGAGCACAGATGTCAGGCCGGACAGTCCTGGTTGAGCTCGCACCGTTGCAAACCGACAGTCCGTTGTCAGTCGGCCTGCTTCGAGACTCTCTGTCAAACACTGCGTTCGTCGTGCAGCAACTGTTCACTGTGTTGGGATCGCTGCAGGACATGGAGTGCGTCGCCCATGATCTGGCATTGCGCTACAACACGAGAGAGAGAGGCCCGGACGCGAGCCATGGGTGTGTGTTGCTGTTTGCGCGGCTACACAGGGAAGAGATGCCCCCAATGTATCTCCGGCAGTCAAGTCGCTGAGCCTGAGCCATTGCCCCTGCTAGGACTCGGAGATGTGACTCAGTGCGGCTGACCTGAGAGGTGCTGACATTTTCATCGAAAGGGCGATTGTTTGTTGGAGTGCTTTTGACCTGCTGCCCGCATTCCATCTGCAGCAGTCTTCACGATGTTTCACCCGGAATGACGAAGTCATGTTATGTTCGCTGCTTCCGGAGCAATTGGCAAGATCACTGAGACACAGCTTACTATGTTGCCGAGAAGCCTGGGCAGCGGAGGTATCATAGCCACCATGGCAGCATCGCGAACAGAGCAAAGGCTCAGCAACGCCGCAGAAATTGCAGACATGCCTGCCTTGAGCATGCATCGTGCTGCTGCTCTTAGGCAGGCTTTCCGAGAAAGTAACACGACCCGGATTTCGCGGCTCCAGCTGTCGTAGCGGTCGTAGCGACTGCAGTTCCGGCTGCATCGCCGTACTACAGACGGCCCAGCACGGGATCGCCTGCAGGATTTTCGCGTTGCTAACCGGCCCGGTTTGGGCCTCCATTTGTTTCCGTGGAGATGCGGCGAATCAGGTGGCTTGGGTTGGGCTTTGGGTGCGAAGCCTGGAAGTGTGAGCTGCAAATGGATCCTTTCAGAAGCTCGATGCGCAGGCTGCTTCCTTTCATAGCACTGCTGGTCGAAGACTGAGACTTTCAGGTGCTAAGCTGCCTGGAGGCTGGTAAGACTGAGGTATGGCAGTGGTCGGAGTGCAGTCCTCCACATGTGCTGTTGGACTAAGGCATGGAACCTTTGGAGCATGCTCGGCCAGACGAGGCTCCGTACACGAGACTTCAAGTTTGAACTGAAAAGATCCATGCCTTTTACCCCGGGCCGGTGGATTTTTGCGGCTTCTGCAACCTGTCGGGGTTGGAAGAGTTGATGAGCCCGTGGTAGATCATGGAATACCCTAGATGGCAGGTGGACCATCACAGAGGCCACGGCCACCGCCAGCATCGCAGTCCAGTCCTTGGAGAGTTTATCAGGGTTGGGAGGTGCATGAACCGGGAGCGCTGGGGGGGGGGAGGTCTGCCCAAAAAGCAGTTGTTGAATGTGAATGTGTGTTATGCTTCTCCATCAATGCCTCAGCTCCGGAACCTCCGAAGGCTGCGAGGTGTAGTGAGTGCAATAAAGCTTAGTTGCGGTCGGCCATAATTACTCTTGAAACATGAACAGATGCAGGTACCACAGCTCTTTGCAAGTTCTGACCAGAGCGGTGGTAGCAGTAGCGGACGAAGGGATAGCGGTAGTCGAAGCAGCAGCAGCAGAACCAGCAGTAGCAGCTGTTTGTCGTCGTCGTCGTCGTCGTTGTCATCGCAGTAGTCGTATGTAACGTAGTGTCGTGGCATAGTCGTCCAGTGGTACAGTAGTGTTTTAAAACTTTAGTAGTAGTAGTCGTTGTCGTCGTCGTAGTCGTAGTCGTCGTAGTAGTAGCAGTAGTCGTTGTAGTAGTAGCAGCAGTAGTAGTAGTAGCAGTAGCAGCAGCAGCAGCAGTAGTAACTAGTAGCAGCAGCAGTAGCAGTAGCAGCAGCAGCAGCAGCAGAAGCAGAAGCAGAAGCAGAAGCAGTAGCAGTAGCAGGAGCAGCAGCAGCAGCAGCAGCAGCTGCAGCAGTAGCAGTAGCAGTAGCAGTAGCAGTAGCAGCAGCAATAGCAGTAGCAGTAGCAGTAGCAGTAGCAGTAGCAAAAGAAGAAGCGGCAGCAGCAGCAGCAGCAGCGGCAGTAGCTGCAGCAA